GGCAGTGGGTGCAGGGGTGGCACTGGGGGGGGGGCGGGTTAAGAAGAGTTGGTTGGCAGCGCCAAGGTTCTTCCCTGGAAAGTTGGGAGCTGCTCAGCTCCGGGCTGCCCCCCATGCCAGGCACAGCACACCCCCCCCCCCCAACTGGAGCTTTGCAGACCCTGCCCCCCCACCTCAAGCACCTTAGACAGCTGGGAGGTGGGAAACCAGCCTCTCCATGCACAAGGACCAGAAATAGAACCCAGGTGTCCTGACCCCCCAGCCCAGCACCCAACCCCTAGGCCTGACTGCCCCAGAGCCAGCCTCCATCTCCCTGCTGGTGGAACACATGGCTGCAGGGATAGGCAGGAAGCCAGTCCTGGGTGCCCCATTGCACTGGGGCCAGGGGGCCAGACCCCACCCCCCAACAGACAGGAGTAGAGGTGGGATTCCCCCCCCAAGGCAGGATCCCTGGGGCCGGAGCTCTGGCAGATCCCTGGTCAGCTGTTCATGCCCCTCCCTGCACCATGACTCAGGCGCTGCTGTGTACTAAGAGGGTGTGCGGCTGTGTGCGGCTCTCCTGCCAGCCTGGAGTGTGTGCGGCGGGGCAGGGGGGGCAGGGGGGAGAATCCAAGGGCAGGAACCTCCCAGGCTGCACCCTCCCCGAGCTGGGGAGAGAACCCAGGAGTCCTGGCTCCCAGGCCCCCCTGCTCTAACCCACCAGCCCCATAACCCAGGTGTCCTGAGCACCCCCTGAGCAGACACTAGACACAGATACGCCTTGAGAATTATTCAAATTTCCTTTTTATTTCTTTTGTTCCAATATAGTTTTTTTCTTCCCCTTCCCCCCCCCAAAAAAAACCTACAACTTTTTTTTTGTTTTTTTGTTTTTAAAACCAGAAAAAAATTTGGCAGCAACGAAGAGGATTTTTGTGATAGAAAATGTGGCGGAGAGCCGGGGTGGGCCAGAGTGGAGATCCGAAAGCGAGGAATGGGGGGCTGATCCAGGCCCCGGGGCGGGGCACACCCCTGCAGGGGGGCAGGGGCCCGGGTGGTCCCAGCCAGCGTGGGCATCAGTAGTACCGCAGCGGAGTGCCGGGCCGGCGTCAATACTGCGAGCGTCTCAAGTGATTGGCCATCTCGAAGCATTTCTTGTTCACGCAGCCCCCATGAATGCCCTCTTTGCCCATGACCAGCACTATCGCTGCAGGGGGGAGAGAGAAAAGAGGGTTGAGGGGCCCCCCAGGCTACCCACTGCCCCCTCCCCACCACAGGCTGGGGATGGAGGAAGACGCTGGTCTCATGGCAAAGGCCGGATGGGCACCTGGGATCTGATCCACTCAGGTAACCCCTACACCAGCACCTACAGGGAACCCAGGAGTCCTGGCTCCCACCTCTAACCCCCATTAGACCCCACTTCCCTCCCAGAGCTGAGGAGAGAACCCAGGAGTCCTGGCTTCCATTCCCAGACAGCAGACCCCAATCCCCAGCGTGCCCCCCCCCACCCCCCAAGGGGAAGGGAGGGAACCCAGGCGTCCTGCTGCACCCCCACCCTTGCAGCTGTTCATGAAGCCCGGCCAGTTATCCAGGGATGCGGGGCTGAAGCAGCTAGATCCGGGGCCAGCTGCTGTGGGCCCCGGCGCAGGGAAAGGGGTCAGGCCTCGGCTGTGCAAGCAGCAGCTGCTGGGAGGGAACACAGCCCTGCTGGCTTTGGGGTGGGACGGGGGAAGCGAGGGCCAGACAGGCAGCCCCAGCTGCAGGAGATGGGGAGGCTGGCTGGACCCCACTCCCCTCCCAGAGCCGGGAGAGAACCCAGGAGTCCGGGCTCCCAGCCCCCCTGTTCCAACCCACCAGCCCCCACTCCCCTCCCCGGCTCTGGGAGGGAATCCAAGAGTCCTGGTTCCCATTCCCAGACAGCAGACCCCAGTCCCCGATTCCCAGCGCCCCCCTGCCAGGGCAAGGGTGAGGACCCAGGTGTTCGGCACTCACTCTTGTTGGTCATGCAGACTGCAATGTTGTAGGTGGGGGTCCCGCCCGTGCTCTTGGTCCGCAGGTCCATGGTGAACTCCCCTTCCACGTGCAGACTGTCCCGAATCACCGAGCACTTCTGGCCCCCGAGCGTCAGCCCATTGACGAACATGCTGCTACGGTCCTTGGCCACCAGCGCGTTCACCTCAGCCGGCTGGGGAGGGGGAGAGGTCAGGGGTCACACTGGACAGGCTAGGGGAGCCCTGCCCCCCACAAGCCCCACACCTCTTCTGGCACCA